TCTCTCTCTCTCTCTCTCTCTCTCTCTCTCTCCCTCTCGCTGTATCTCTCTTTCTCTCTCCTACTTTCTCGCGTGCAATTATGTGTGTGTGTCTGCGTGTGTGTACGTGTCTGTGCGTGCGTACGTGCGTGTGCGCGCGTGTGTGTGTCTGTGTATGCGCGCGCGGCAGCGCATGAACGTCTTCATGTCTTCGAGGCGTGTCTGGGACTAGGAGTTTTCATGACGTGTCAACTCGTACCGTGGTATCACTAACGTCTGCGTTCTGCAGTCTCATAAAGTGTTGTACGAATTGCTACACACGATTTTAATACACACAAGCAAGCAGCACAAAAAAGACGGACAGCCAGCCAGAATGAAAAGCTCGATTCCAAACCAGTCCACCTCCTTTGCCTTCCTAGTGTCTCCTACAAGTTCGGAAGTTCGGACAGTAACAAGATCTAGAACGGAGACGGACATCTGAACTCTCTATTTTTTATTTTTTTTTAAATATATCGATTTAGTAAAGGTTTTACGGCATTTGAAAAATGCATAGATTATATTGTAAGTGCTCAAGATTAGAGGAGTAACATAACACCGAAAAGAAGGAGCGCGAAGAATGGCGCGATGATAGATGTTTGATAGGGGAAAAAAGGAGCAAACCATACCAGAGTACCCGCCAACCACCAACAGCCTGACACCGACGAGAAAAAAAAACCGCAACTGAACCAAAGATTAACAAGATAAATAGACTGGAAAGCGGATAGAGAATGCTATTTTGCGAGGAAACTTGCGTTATATACATGCTATTTATCTGTTGTAAGACATGGTTTTAGCATTAAGCTGGCGAAACCTGTTATGTATTAACTGAATATCTATTAGGCATGGATCTATCGCATCCCGAAAGAGACATAAGTTATTGGAGGGAGGCCATCAAGCCATGCAATGGCCCCAGTTTGGAAACTTCAATTCACGGCAACCGACGACGGCCTGTTTATTCCTAAACAGCTGAAAATTAGTCTTGCAAAGGGGCCTTCTCAGCCTTGGAAAAAATAGAAAGTTCTTGCTCACTCTGAACTTTCACTTTATATATATGTTGTTGTTTTTTAATGTCGTTTTGTTTGTTGGTGTGTTTTGTTGTTTGTTTGTTGTTAGTTTTTTGTGTGTTTTTTTGTTTTGTTTTAGGGGGCGGGGGTCTTTTT